GCTCTCTTTTTAAAATTCCTTTCCGTTTTTTCCCTTCTCCCTCCCTCCATCTTTTGTTCCCTTTCCCATTTGAAAAAGATCTCCCTACTTCCTATTATTTTGCTCTTTATATTTTGGGTTTCTCGTACTGATATAAGAGAAACCATGCAAAATTTAAACTTGTGTGTCTGTTTTATTTCACTTAACATTTCTTCTTTGGAGAAATGCCCATTCAGATCCTTTTCCCACTTATTAGGTTATTTTTCTGAAGCTGTTGAATTGTGTGAGTTTTCAGACACATGGTTTGCAAATATTTTCTCCCAATTCATAAGTTGCCTTTTAATTTTGTTTTCTTTGATTGGTAGGTTTTTAGTTTGATACAGTCCTATTTATTTATTTATTTATTTGGTACTGGGGATCAAACTTGGGTCTTTCTGCTTGCAAGTTAGGCAGCAGAACCACTGAGCTAAATCCCTGGCCCCTCATTTATTTTTGTTTTTGTTGCCTTAGCTGTTACGGTAATATCCAAAAGTATTGCCAAATCTATTGTCAAAGACCTTTCCTATGTTTCTTTATAGGAGTTTTATGGTTTCAGGCCTTATAATTATGTTTTTTGTTTAAGTTGATCTTTGTATATGGTAAGAGTCCAGTTTCATTCTTTTGTATATTAAAATCCAGTTTTCCTAGCACTGCTTTTTTTTTTTTTCTAGCACTGCTTTTTGAAGAGACGACCCTTTCCACATGTGTTGTCTTGGTGGAAATGAGTTGACCGTACATGCTTAGGTTTATTTCTATGCTCTTTTTGTGTTCCACTAGTCTGTGTGTTTGTTTTTTTGCCAGGAACATACTGTTTTGATTATTGTAGCTTTGTAATATAATTTGAAATCAGAACATAGCAATGCCTCTAACTTTGGTTTTTTTTCTTCAGAAATTTTTTTGTTCTTTGGGGTCTTGTGATTTCATATAAATTGGTTTATATTTTAAGTATCAATTTTTTTACATTATGGGTTTGAGAATTTTTTTGTTTTTCTTCCTTGTTAATTAATTAATTGCGTAACTACCAAAGCTAAACATATCTATATCAAAGTCAAACATGGTTATGTAGTGAGAGGGCTGGGGATGTAGCTCAGGGGTTGAGTGCATGCCTGGTATGCATGAGTTCTTGAGTTCAATCCCCAGCACCCCAAAAAAGTTTTTTTAAAAAAGAAAGTCCTCTTTCATTGTCTACCTGCCCCTAGCTCACTCCGTTCTTCAAGGCAAACACTATTTAAAAAGTCTGATCAGGGGGCTGGGGATTTAGCTCAGTAGTGCCACCACCTGCCTCGCAGGCACAAGGTCCTGAGTTCAATCCCCGGTACCAAAAAAAATGTCTGATCAGTAGCTTTCCAGACCTTTCTTCATGAATTTACAAGTGAACATCTGTGTAGATAAATTTATAGAAGTACTACTTACTTAGTAGTATTTCACAGATTTCTTTTTTCCTGCATTAGTACCTATAGCTTTAAGAACTTGTTTTATGCCTTTGACTCTTTCTGTCCTCTTAAATACCTTGACTTTTTTGAAAATTTCATCTCTCAACAGTTCTCTATTCTCCTTCCCCTATCTTTCTACCATATTATTCTGGTCTGACCACAGAGAGACTAGTTCAGAATGTGTTGACTATGTCTGGCCTCCATATTATTCTCCCATCTTCCTTTTTCAGAACTGGTTGGGTTATACTAAGAAGAGAGCACCCATTGGCTTCCATCGAGTTGTGGAAATTTTACACAAAAACAGTGCCCCTGTCCAGGTAATAGCTCCTAAAGAGAGGTGGGTACAGGATACTCTCGGTGACCTAACTTAGCCTGTTATTGTTCAGTGATGGAGACTTGATCTGTTCTGGTTTTCCCTTAATGGCAGTACAGTGGTTGCTGCATGGGGCCTTGAGATAGAAAAGGCAGGAAAGGGATGTTCTCTTCCCTTTAGAAGTAATCCCAGACTGTGTTCTCTGAGGAGCATCTACTATGTTTGACCACGTGGAGAACGGATGTACTGTGTAAATGATCCAAAAGGAGAACTTCCTAAGAAAGGACATCAGGGAACAATGAATACAGAGCGGGATCAGCTCTAGAGTGGTGCCTTGTTGGCATGTGGATCTGGCTCTAGGATAAGGAAGAGTGTGCTCTTCCTTTTTTTCCTGAGGCACTGCCTGGTGTCATCTCTTTTCCCACTACAAAGCTAGTTTTATGATTGATGATAGGTATTGTAAAGATCAGATACTGAATTTTATTTTTCCAGTAGTGGGGATCAAACTTTATTTACCAGACAGGCACAGCACCACTGAGCTCCATCGCAGGCCCTAGAATTTTTTCCCCTCTACCTATAGATTTTGTGTTTTATAAGTCTGGGAATCATTAATCAGAAATACCTCTTCCTACAGATTTTACAAGAGTATGTCAGTCTAGTGGAAGATGTGGACACAAAGTTGAACTTAGCGACTAAGTTCAAGTGCCATGATGTCGTCATTGATGTAAGTTCCCAAGAAGTGAAAACCTGAGTTAGATCCTAGGTGGATAGTGGGGGATTACAGTATTCTGTGTTCTAGATCCTGAAATGTTTCTGTTAGATTTGATTGATTAGATAAAATGGTCTGACAAGAGACCCGCACTCATGCATTATTTTTCCAGCATTCTGATTGGTTTCTCTGTGTTGTTTTTCTTGTTTTGTTACCAGGGATCGAACTCATGTCTTTGCGCTTGCAAGGCAGGTGGTGGAACCACTGAGCTGAATCCCCAGCTTTCTCTGTGTTTTTTATAATTTGGAGTATTTAGAGAAATCAGAACTGATTAAGTTACATAGCTCTGCAGACGTCACTCCAGAATGAAGTTCTGTGGGTGCCTCACCCCATATTATCTGTAGCCTGTTGGCCTCTCCTTGAGCCTTGGGTCAAAGTGATAGTGACCAAAAAAAAAAAAAAGACTCCTCATAGAGAAGGCTGATTTGGGGTTTGTATTATTTTGTTCTACAGACCTGCCGAGATCTGAAGGATCGTCAGCAGTTGCTTGGATATAGGAGCAAGGTAGACAAAGGATCTGCAGAGGAAGAGAAAATTGATGCCATTCTCAGCAGCTCGGTGAGCAGCTATATTTACCCCTCCAGTGATCCTAGGAGGTAGATGGCTCACAAACTAGTATCAAATGTATGTTTCCAGGACTAGCCGAATCACATGGATATAAGATTTGCCTGTAGGGCCAAGCTGTCAAAAGCATTGCTTCAAACAGCAAAAATTACTCCTGAGGTGTAGGATACTAAAAGAGTACCTACAGGCCTCAGATTGAGACTTAACTGTGATGCTCTGATCATTGTTAAACCGATCAGAGTATTAGAACTATAAAACAAATGTTACAGATTCAGAATATCCAGACTGTATAGTTTCCTGGGGATGGATATGAGTTACCTTTTAGACATAAGAAGTGGCCAAAATAGACTTCTGCTATTGGGAGAGTACAACTGGGTCATCTCTCATAGTATGAAATTACTGAGCTTTTTATTATTATGGAACTTAATTTCCTGTTATGTATTTTGGCACTTAGGATAGGGTAACCTAAAGCTCAAGAACCTTGGTCCTGAGGAGAGCAGACCAGAAGAAGTGCCCTAAATCAGGCATTCTGTAAAATACAGAAGAGATATTTAATCCATCTCTTCATAAATGAACTCACCCTCATTAAAAAAAATTCTCCACACCTCCCCAGTTTAATCCTTATTTTCCTTTTTCTTTTATCAACTCCCTTCATTTATTGCATTCATTTATTTCATTCCCCCTACCTCTCTGTAGGGATAAGTGCAAACTGATCACATATGTTCATTGTTTGTTTTTTCCACAGCAAATTCGATGGAAGAATTGAGTGGCATTAGCCGCCCTGAAACCTGCCTCATTTCTTCCTTTCCTGCCTATGGAAGTAGAGAGCTCTTCTTTGTGAGAGTTACAGCATCACATCTCTTGGGCCTATCATCAGCAACAGCACCTGCTACTCTTGAGACAGAAACCAGCACCTGGGCACAGGTAGCTTCAGACTGACTTTCTGTCTAAGGCACATCATCTTAGGGCCAAGATCTAATGCTTTGACTTGTGAGAAAGATACTCTCCACTTGGTGCTCATGTGAAGGTGGGAGCCCACGTCAGTTAAGATCTCTCTTGGTTTGAGAAAAGTGACTGCTCCAGAAAGGAAATTTCCTAGAGGAGGAGGAAGAGGTGTCACAAGGTGGCTACTCCATTCTACTCAGCTAATTATGGGGATTAGCAGTTTTGCTATGAAGAAAGTCAGAACAGAACCAAAATGGCTGTCTTCCAAGGGCCTCAGGAAAAGGTGCCAGTATTGCTCAGGACCTGCTGGAAACACAACTAAACCAGACTGCACAGAGCCCTCCACTTTATGTGCCCAGATGTTGTGTTTCTTCAGCTAGTATCCCTTTGCTGCTTCAGTCTACTCTTTGTCCAAAAACTTAGGGTTCCTCTCTCAGCTGCACACTGAGATGACCTTATTTGGGTGATAAGATATCCCTCTTATCTTTTCCTTCTGTCCCAGACCCACAACTTATATGGAGCTCAGATTCAGCAGTGCTGGAGAGCTCTCCCTTTAGGAAAATTTCATTATTTCACCAGAAGTGTTCAGAAGTTTTACCTGGGCTAAACTCAGCAGCATTTCTGTTAAATATTTAGTGGAGGTTTTATTTTCACACTTAACTTTTGAGAGGATGTCCTGTAATGCTAGTTTGTTCCCTGTACCAGTATCAGCTTCTTTACTGTGACTCAACTGGGCTTTCTTGACATGCCTAGCCTCCTAATAAAGCCATTTCATCCTTGATGCCTTCTCTTCCCTGCCTAGTTGTTTTGTGAAATAATTGCTCAGTATCTAGTCTGTGTCCAGGACTGCATCCAGTGGCCTCTTAGCACCTGTCAGGGTGGTTATGGCAAAGTTGGGCTGGGTGGTTAACAGCACTAAGCTGAGAAACAGAAGGCCTGACTTGTTTTTCTAGTTCTGCCACTGATAGGCTGTGTGGTCCTGGGTGAGTCCTTTTCTTTCTGGACTTGTCTTCATCTGAAAAACGGGGGCATGATAATCTATGACCTTGTAGAGTTCTATACTCCTTTGTCTGGAATGGTTGAAGTGGTAGGAAGAAGAGAGATGATGCTCCTTCAGAGGTTCCCAGTATGCTTTAAGGTAACATGGTTCTCAGCTGGGACATTATTGCCACACTTGGGAGAGGCAGAGGATTCTGCTAAATACCCTAGAATTCACAAGACTGCCTCCCTAACAAATTATCCTGCCCACAATGTTAGTAATACCAATAATGAGAAACCTTGTTATAAGGAAATTCAACTGCATTTTTGCTCCTCCATTTTATAATCACTTTTGTAATTCCAGGTAACCTCATATTTAGTTCCTTTCCTGATTGTCCTTCCTGTTGAAGAAATAGGAGTTTAATTGCTAAGCTGTGTTAAAGTTATTGGCTTATATTCAGACAAACAGTGGTAATTTATTAACTAGTGTATCAGTTACAGTTCAATCAAAAAAGAACCACTAGGAGTGTATATACATTATCTAATCTAACATTTTTACAGGAATCTTACTTAGGTATGGCAGCTGGATAAACAGTCAGCATAAGATGATTGTTTTCATGTCTGGTAGAAAAGCTTGAAATTCATAGGGCAGGCAGCCAGGAAGGGAAAATAGATGTAAAGTAAGAGATAGCATAGACAAGCTAGAACCCATGAAAATAGACCTCGACTCACCTTTATCCTCACCACCTCTAATTGTGATGGAGTGGGTATCCTGCAGGAGAAGCTGATGCCCTAGTAAGTGTAAGAGGACCTAGGGAAAGGACTAGCAGTTACAGGCCCAGCTGCTATCCCACACCAACAAAGTAGCCAATGTATTGGCAACCATGTGTGTGACTACAGAAGTGCATGCTCCAGCCTTGCAAGCTGAAATACAAACTAGTTGCTATTTCATTTCTCCCTTCTAGGTTTTTCACAAAAATATCTCCTGTTGTTTACCATAAGCAAAAATACACAAGGAAGGGAATCCTGGAGAAGAGAGTTCAGCCTAAGTCATATTGATGTAGGAAATGACATAGGACTCCAAATGATATAGGGGAAGTACTATAACTCCCAACCTGCTAGATGTTCAATATGTTGAGTTTGTGTTCCCCAAAATCAAAGAATGAATTCTAAGGAACAACAGAGGTTAAGAGTTGGAAATACTTATTGAGGGGAAAGATACAGCTCCTTAGAGGGAGGAAGGGACCCGAAAGTGGGTTGCTGAGGACCCCACTTCTCAGGGGAAGTTTTTTTGATACCAGGGATAGAACTCAGGACCTTGTGCTTTCGAAGTAGGCGGCAGCACCACTGAGCTAAATCCCAGGCCTTCAGGAGAAGTTTTATAGAGCACAACCAAGTGGGTACAACATGAGTTACGGCTGTGATCAGTAAGATTATAAATATAGTCACTTAGGTAACATTGAGTCAATGGGGAAGTAAGTCATGTAGCAAGTGTACATGGAAGGAACAAAGAACTTTTCAGGAAGAAATGTCTGAGGGTCTTGGTCACACTGAGGTGACTGATATCTATCTAGACTTCATTAGACCAGTGTTACCACTTATCTTAAGCCTGGTCATTTTGTCTTTCTCTTGAGACCTGGCCTCCAACAGTTGTACCTCTGGCCAGGGTTGTAATGTTTTTACCTTTGTCCTGACTCTCAAGCTCCTATCTAAATGCCTATAATGTTTCTGCCTAGCTTAGCTATCTATAATAATATTACAAATTACAAAGCTACAACTGAGTCTCTGTTTTTGAGAATCCATAAAGTGTAGGCCTTGAATTCATGTCTGTTCAACTGAATGTGTGCTGCATTAGTCATGCTGATCTAGGAAGTTGTGAGTTCCTTTTTTTTTGAGCAGGAAAAATCATTTGCAACATTAGAATGCCCTACCACACTGTTTTGGTGTAAGGAAATGTTTCTTAGATTTGATAAAAACTTCCATGCTTTTCACTTCAAGTGCTAGGCACATGGCTTTTAAGGTTATGCTAACCTGTGGCATAGCATGCTTACTCTGAGAGGTTTTAGAGAAGCCATACAAATGGTCCCATATTATATGATTTCATTAATACGAAATACTTGGAATAGGTACAGTTCATCCATAGACAGCAGACTGGTGGTTCCAGGGATTCTGGGTGGAAAAGTATAGGAAGTTGTTGCTTAATGTGAATAGGGTTTCCTTGTTCTACAACTGGAGGTAGTTGCAGAGAATTCTGAATGTACTGCTAACTGGTTCATTTTAAAATGACTAATTTTTTTTTGTTGTTTTTTTGAGACAGGGTCTCATTATGTAGTCCACATTAGCCTTGAACTCATTAAGGAGCCCAGGCTGGGCTCACAGCGATCTTCCTGCCTCAGGCTTCCACGTGTTGGGATTATAGGCATGTGCCACAATGCTTGGCATAAAATGGCTAATTTTATGTTAGGTGAATTTTGCCTCAGTATTTTTTGTTTTTAAATTTAACAAGAGGACTAGAGACTGGAGTAGTTTCAAATTCTGATCTTAATTTCATCATTACTATAAAATTGATCACTGATTTCCTAAATACAAAAACAGTTGGAAATATAACTCAAGTAATCCTAAGATATGTATGATATTTCAGTCTGCAAAAAAAAAAAAAAGATTTTTAAACCCCTAGAAATCCAGAATCTTGTGTTTGGAAGAAGGTCCCATACTGGTCTGCCATAGTACTCCTACAAATAGTGAAAGGAACTTGTATCATCATGTTCAGGTCAGGAAAACCTTTTAAATGAGTCTGGCCCCTTTAAAAATCAGACTGAAGTGATCTGGTAGCTAAGGAGTCATAATGACAACTTTCTTGGGTAATTCTTAGAAATGTAATTTTTTGCCTGCCTGAATCAGAAGTACTGAGGAGAAGCACTCCACCACTGACAGAGCTGGCAGACAGAGCTTCTGGGTAATCTCAGTGTGGTTAGTGAGAGATGTATGTAGATAGGTTTATATACCTCAAGGTTTATTTTCAAAAATCTAGATGTCTCAGCCCTAGATATAAAGGACAGTGATATTTAGCTGGGGCTCTTTTCTACCCTGTGGGGAACCCAGAGTTTAGTGAAAAGGGAGAATTTCTTTGAAATGAGGTCCTATGTATTTCTGAAGCATAGGCCATGGAAGGGAGGTGATCAAGAATACCTCTGAAATCCACTGCTAATGGAAATATATCTGCTGAAAAAAATGCCTGCAGCCTGAATTTGAATGAGAGAGGCGCTGAATTTCACCATCACAAGTACTTGTGACCTCAGCATACACATCATCATACATAAGCCCTCCTTCATAAAACTTTATCTGTCTAGGGTAGGGAGCCAAATTGATAGGGATGTGTCACTGCAAGATATGATGGCTTGGAAATGGACATATTAGAAGACCTTAAGTCCCTGCAGTTTGAGTATGGGATTTCAGAGGAAGATCGTTCCTGGCTCTATTTGCGGGGCCGTTCTCGGGGACTAATGATTGAGGCCTGTGCCCATGCAGTCTTCTTCTGCAAAGTATTCCGTGATTTGAGGTAAGCAAGGTATCCAAGTTAAAGAAGATAGATAAGTGGCTGAGAATCTAATTGACTTAAACTTTTTATATTGGAGGATAAATTTAGCAGGGGGATTGTTTTTCCTCCTTTTCCAACCCAGAATCACTACTCTGAAAGAACTAGGAATATCCAATTCTGAAGCGTCTTGGCTTTGGTTATATAATAAAGCATAGATCAGTGATGATTTCCTTTCAGTGGGTGGATTGATTAAATGATCACTCATTGATTCATTCATTTACCTGTTAGGATTACTAGATTATGCTTCACAGCAGTTAATGACTAGCCATTCTTTGTCTATTATTGGCTTCAAGTGGGCTCAATTCATTCCTTTGGGGTTGACCAAATAGTGGACTGCTCCATCGCAGGAAAGCCACCTGGGACTTTGCAGTCCCTATAACCAGATAACTTTCTTGAACCAGTGATTTTCAGAGAAGCTCTCAGTTCAGTCCTGGTTTCTGATATCTTTCTACAGTGTGGCTTCAGACAATTGAATAGGAGGTGTGTGTGAACCAAATAACTAGAATTAGGGTTCTGGATTTTGTAACTTAGGTATCTCCTGGATCATAGGTCATCTCACTCTATTCAAGTTTACTTTTTTCTGAAATTAGATGAACTATATGATGGAACTGGATGTATTTTTTTGTTTAAATTTTTTTATTAGTACATGTTTGCAGTGCATAATGATCACATTCACTGTGGGGTGTTGGTACATGTACATATAACACATGTTAATTCTTTTTTTCCATCTCCTTTCCCTCCTTTCTCTTCCCCCTCTCTCTGGCTCTTGGTCTCCTTCCCTTTTGCAAATAATCTATCTCCCTATTTCCTATTATTTATTTTGCTCTTTAATTTATTTATATTTTTGGTTTCTTGTATGGGACCAGATCTGAATTGATCATATTTTTATCCATAGCCTATACCCAAGAAGGCAGCCTTCTCAGTGAGTTTGCTGACTGGCCTACTGATAAGGATATATAAACTTACTGGTTGTACCAAAGACTAATTTTTACCAAAATACAGAACAAATAATGTTGTCTATAACAATAAAAGTAATGTATTCTGAGGTCAGACTTTGTACTCTGAGATCAGACTTTGTTAATCATGAGCCAAAGAAACAACCAGAAAAAACAAACAGGAAGTGGAATCTCTGAAAAGACTGGTCTCAAATCCTTATCCTCAGTTTTTCAGGTCTGTTTGTTTTCATAAAGCATTTACTCTTATTAATTCTAACACTCTTAAAAAGCAAAGTTATCTAGGGGCCGGGGATTTAGCTCAGTGGCAACGCACCTGTCTCATAAGTGCAAAGTCCTGAGTTTGATCCCTGGTACCAAAAAAACAAAAAAAGCAAAGTTATCTAGTTCCTCAAGTCTTCAGAAGCGGAAGAGCAAACTGGAAAGAGGAGGTGTATGGTAAGAGAAGGGTTCCCTCATCCCAATAGCAATGCAAATTGACAACTGAGAGTGATATCAAAAAGATGGAAGAATAGGAAGCCACAGACCTCATATAACTCTGCAGAGACACTGACTTAACAAAAGTAAATGGTTTGAAAAGCCTGTGTGAGAACTCCAGAAACCAGTTAAGTTGCAGCATACCAGGCAAGTGCAAAGTCCTTAACAGTTTCATTGAAAGGATGAAGAAAAATGATTACAGTTTATTTGAGGTAGTCCCTTCCCTAAGCCAGTACAACTTGGTATGATCAGGAAAAAACACCTGTCTTTTACTTTGAAGAGAAAAAGAAAAATGGAATATATAGTATGCTCTGCATTCCAGCTTTTCAGGGTTAACAGGGAACCAATATACTTTGAGAACAAAGAAGAGCTCAGTGGTTTTTGCCGCACAGAGAACCTGCAGTACCATAGAAAGACACCAGAGGGTGCAGGAGATTACAAGCTCCTGCCAAACACCAAAACAGGCAACCCTCTCTAATTTGGAAATTATAAACACAAGCCCCCAAAAGACACATTGCCCAGAAAAGCCTTGAGAGCATTCCAAAATCTCCCACCGGGCTGATTGGTAAAGATCTCTTCCCGTATGAAACCAGACTATAAAGATTGGGAGAGGTGGCTATTTTTTCAATTTCCTAAACCCCAGAAAACCATATCAAGGAAATGTGGCTCAATCAAAGGATCAAACTTAATAGTCTGGAAACCAACTCTAAAGAAATAGATATGTGAATTACTTAAAGAAATAAAAATACTTTTATAGAAGCCCAGTGAGCTACAAGAGAAGATGGATGAACATTTAAATGGAATCAGAAAAATAGTACATGAACAAGTCAGAAACTTTTTTTTAAGGCCCAAATTTCTTGAGCTGCAGCATACAATAACATGAAATTCACAAGAGGATTTCAACATCAGACTTAACCAAGCAGAAGAATCAATGAATTCAAGATAGAAATTACTAAGAGCAACAAAAAGAATAAAATGAAGAAAGTCTAAGAGACTTGGGACACCATTAAGCAGACCAATGTGTGCATTCTGAGAATTTAAGGAGAAGGGACAATGAGGCAGATAACTTATTTGAAGAAATAATGGCCCCCAAACTTTCCAAATCTGAGGAAGAAAATAGACATCTAAATTCAAGAAGTTCAAAGTACTCTAAATTGAATGAACTCAAAGAGGCCTACACTGAAACATAAACTGTCAGGAAATATGAAACCCTGCAAGAAAAAAAACCAACTCATATACAAGGGAGCTTCTGTAGGAATATCAATGTTTTTCTTAGCAAAGATATAGTAGGCCAGAGGAAGTGGTTTGATATATTCTAAATGCTGAAAGAATATTGTATCTGGAATTCAATGGCAAATTCTAAAGATGCTGCCTAAAGGGAAAAGTGGTTCTGGAAAAGAGGATCAGGGGGACCAGTCTCTGGGAGTTACAGTGCTGACAAAGCTCAGGGATCCAAAGGTGGTGGCAAAGCAGTAATAATCAGAATTTATATTCCTCAAAAAACTAAAAATAGAAATTCCATTTGATCCTTCCCCTATAGATACTTATTCCCCTTCCAGGTATCTTCCCAACAGAGTTAAAAACATTATACCATAGGGGCCGGAGATTTAGCTCAGTGGTTCCAGCACCTGCCTCACAAGCACAAGGTCCTGAATTCGATCCCCAGTACCAAAAAAACCCATTATACCACTGTGATCTATACATATCCTTGTTTATACCAGCGCAACTCAAAATAGCTAAATCTTGGAAACAGCCTATATGTCCATCAACAGATGAATGGATAAAGAAAATGTAGTATTTATACCACAACGGAGTACTATTGTGGCATTGAGATCATAATGTTAAATGTAACTCAGACAACACAAGCTTATGTTATGAAATAACATGAAATAAACATGAAATAAAAGACAATAGGAAAAAAGAGAAAGAATTGTAATACAGCATGGACAATGTATCTAAAAGTGTACCTTGATTTAGTATAATCTTACATGTTTTATGTGTTCTTTGATCTATTAGTCTAGTTCTCAGTTGTATATATGATAATTAACTTTATAAGTTCTTATAAGATAAATAAATGAATTTGCTGCTGGAAAAATAAAAGGGGATATGAAGAAGGGGAAAAAAGAATTTAAATGTGTTATATATGTATACCAATTCACTACAGTGAATGTAATCATTATGTACTACAAACATGTACTAATAAAACTAAAAAACTAAGGGGATTTTATTAAATGAAAAAAAGGGCTAGTTCTTTGAAAAAATAAACAAAATAGATAAACCCTTAGCCAATCTTACTAAAAAAAGGAATGATAAGACCTATATTAATGCAACTAGATAGAAATGAAAAGGCAAAATCACAATGGACACCACTGAAATCCAGAAGATTGTTAGTAACTATTTCAAAAATCTGTACTCCAATAAATTGGATAATTCAGAATTCAGAAGAAATGGATTTCTAGATACATATGAATTACCAAAACAGAACCAAGAACATATGAAAACTGAATAGTTCAATAACAAGCAAACTGAGGCATTAATAAAAACCTACCAACTAAGAAAAGCCTAGGACACAATAGTTTCACTGCTGAATTCTATAAGAACTTTAGGGAAGACCTAATGCCAACTCAAACTCAAGCACTCCTGAAGTCATTCCTGGAAGCTAGCATTACCCTGATTCCAAAATTGGTCAAGGACCCAACCAAAAAGAAAACTACAGGCCAATTACTTTAATGAACACTGATGCAAAAATTCTCAACAAGATATTGGAAAACAGAGTTGAATAAATAAAAAAACTCATACATTATGAGAAACTAGGCGTCATGCTAGGAATGCAAGGATGGTTCATCATATACAAATCGATAAATTTAATACATCTCAAAAACAAAGATCAAAATCACATGGTGATCTTAATAGATGAAGACAAAATCCAACATCTATTCCTGATTTTTTAAAAAAGAAGAAAAAGTATATAGAAGGGGAGCTAGGCATGGTGGCACACATCTAAAATCCCAGCACTTGAGAGTCCAGGGCAGGAGGATCACTGCAAGTTTGAGGCCATCCTGGGCCAAAAAGGGAGTTCAAGGGAAGCCTGAACTTTGTAGTGAGACCCTGTCTTAAAACACAAAAACAAATCAATATAGAAGGAATTTATCTCAACCTGATAAAAGTCATTTATGGCAAACCTACTGCAACATATTAAATGGGAAAAAACTGAAAGTATTCCCTCTAAAATCATGAACAAGACAAGGTTGTATACTACCACTCCAGTTGAAAAATTAGCTACAGCAATCAGTCAAGACAAAGAAATAAAAGAGCTATGTATAGAAAAGAGATCAAAAAGTTTCAAAATTAGTTTCAAAAACATGATCTTTTACATAGAAGACCAAAAAATTCTACCAAAAGATCCTAGAATTAATAACTAAATTCAGTAATGTAGTAGGATACAAAATTAACACACAAAACCAGTAACATTCTTGTACACCAATGATGAACCCACCAAGAAAGAAATTAGGAAAACAGTACCATTCATAGT